AAGCAGATGTATTTGTAAGTTTTCAACCAAGTTGTTTATTGGAATTACCATATATCAAGAAAAAAAAAAAATCACTCGCCCCCTCCCCCCCTTTTTTTTTTCCTCCTCCAATCTGGATAAAGAAGTCTGTGCTCTGTTATCCAGAAGCAGAGAAGGGAATGTGTATTTGATGCTGCATGTAATTAGTTGAAATACTAGTGAAACAGTGTAATATCTAGAAAACAAACATGTGAGGGGAATCTTGTGCTTAGATGGCTGAACTCTTTGGCTTCAGACACATTTTGGTGCTGTCTCATGGTCACGTTTACTTATTTTTATTCTCTGTATGTCGCAAATCTATAAGTTACAGACTAAATCATGACTTTTTCTCATAGATTCTATCAGTGGATGTTACTTAACAGTTTTCTTGCTCTCATGCAACCATGTGACCTATTTTGTAGTCTGTTGGCTTTGAATCTGCAGTTAGCTTCCAGTCTCTACTTGCAACTTAATCTAGTTTCCCAACATGGACTGTGTTATGTGTCTCAAATAACTTGAAATGGTAGTGAGTCTTTGAAAGACAGATGAGTTGTCAACATTATATTTGATAAGCAGTGTTAGAACCCATGTTATGACTCATGCTTAAGCTTCTCATTTGCTTCCTACTATTTCCTTAGACTTTTATTGGTGGCTAAATGCCAGTGGTTAAGTACAATAAATAGCCTTGGGTTTGAGTTTGGTTTTGCTTTCCTAACACAGCATTATTTTGCTAATAAAAAAATAACAAAATAGTTTTTCCCCTGACCTAGCTCATTATTGTCCTAAATCTTGTGCAAACTAAAGGGTGTCTTGCATTGTTCACTGGAAAGTGCATTACAAGAGTTTTTGAGTTTCCCTTTGTTAAAATGGGCAAGATAAAACTTTGCAATTGTTTCTTTGTCTGAGTGGCAGGTAATGAATGATATGTGCCTGTCTCATTCATTTTGGTAATCTTAGTTGTGTTTCTTCTTCAGACTACCAGTCTTCCACAGTAATTAATTTAGAAGGAGTATTCTCTCTCTAACTTTGCAAGTTAACCACTAATAATCTTTCTTACAGAGCTGAAATTGTAAAAGTTAATGCTGCTCCTTCTTTAGAAACTTACTTTTGGATATGAAACAAATGTGCACAAAGAGTACTAAAATGTTTTGCTGTATTTGCTTTTCTTTAAGTCTATTGACAGCACAGACCGGTGTCCTGCCTTGAATTCTATTATAATAAATCTGTAAGTTTAATTACACAGTTTGTTTGAAAGATGCATCAGTTATTTGGAATGAAAGGAATACATGTCCTTTACAGGCAAGAGGGAGTTGAAGATGGCATTTATGTCCCAATAGAAGTTAATGTCCACACTCAAGCAGGAAAGGTACTGACCTGTCGAAGCTACCAGATGAAGGACTATGTCCGTGGTCCCCCTTCTCCACAGTATAAAAAGGTAGGTGTTGTATCACTAATTTTGGAAGAGTGAACAGAAGTAGACAATGCAGTACTTTTGTGCTGTTTACTAAGTAGTTTAATTACAGTGGATGGAAGGCATGACTACTGTAAAAGTTTAACAGTCCTTGTGCAATGTACTACTGTAACGATGCTCACAGAAGATTGCTAGCTCTTAAAGGCCTTCTAAATCAGTTTGGTTTTTTAGCTTAGTTATTCCTTACACAAAGCCTCTGTTTAACTCATGAATTAGTTATGACTGACAAGGTTTTCTGAAGGATGTTGTTTACATATATGTGGCAATTCTCTGTTTGAAAAATTAATGTACTCCACTAAAAGGACAGAGGGAAGCTTCCTTGGGGAAAATACAGTGCTGGCTTGTAGTTTCAAGGGCATGGATTATCCTTATTGTCTTGTGAAATTGTTGCTATCACCTAACACAGGAGTCCACCTGCCTCCTCCTACCAGATGCATCATCAGTGTATCACAGGACTGCAGCAGCATTGCAGAGCACTGCAGGGCTCCCAGTTGATGGCTGGTGTGGCAGAAGTGTTGCAACACTGTTCTGCAACACACTGGCTCTGTAGAGACACATGATCCAGTCACGCAGCAGGCCTGACCTGCTTAGCTTGTGAATTCTGGTGCAGGCCTGGCCTCAGGGTGGCATGACTGCATGTCTGAGTGGTACAGCTGTCAGCAATTGTAGATGGGCATCACTGTAGCATGTTGGCTTTTTCTACCTAAAGCAAAGAAACAGGGCTTGAGCCTGTTAAGTGCCAAGTGTGCTGCCTTCTCCTAACCAAGGAACTCACTCCTATGAATCAGCTTCCAAGAGCATAGCTAAGGCCAGCTGCTGTGGGACTGCTGAAGAGAAAGCTTGCTCTCTAGCAGGCTCTGCTACTGCTCAAACCTCCTCCCTGCCAACCTGCCTCGTGTCAAGACACATCTTTAGGGCTGTTCAGAGATTTAATGCATAGTCTGCTGCTGTGTGTCCGCTCTCACTGGTATGCTGTAAGAGCAGTCCTCCAGTATTGGCAACTTTAGCTAGCTAAACATTTTCTACTGCTGTTGTCAGGATCAGTTGTTAGTTCTGTCCTTCCCCCTGTCCCCAGCTTTTACTTGTTTAAGTAAACCAGGCAGGAGAGCTAACAATGTGTACAGGTGACTGCATCAGCACACAGTGATTGAACAACATCCATCTGCTCTTGTGTACTTTTTGTGGCAAAATTCATCCCTTCTAGATACCTCATCCTTGAATTTCCCAGCTGTTGAATGCATGAAAGAGTATTTAAAGTAATGTCAGCTTTCAAAATCTGCATATTTATCTATTAATTTCTATATGTGAGCTTGCTAGTGTCTCCTTCAAGCCATGGCTCCTACAAATTCCTGTTTTCCTCTCACTGTCACATGTTTTTGTTTGCACCAGTAGTTAAATTTATCTTGTATGCAGAAGGAAAGATGCAGTAACAAACTCTAAGGAATCAGTGCTTTTTCTCTGCTACTCCTGTAACCTGTCTAGGTACTCACTGTTTTGTTTTGGATTTGAACAGCTTAGTTTGAAAAATAACTTCAAGAATATACACTACTTCTCACTCAGGCTGGCTAAAGGCTTGAAAAGTAGTTCTCATCCTCCCTGGAAGAATGGAGTAACTGAATAATAGCTTAATTGTAGTCTTGTGCACATTAGTAACACTTCAGAATCTTAGGGGTAGTTACAAGCTTTTTCAGAGTAGTTTTATTGACACTATTAAGGTCTTCAGTGGTCTCCCAGAAATCTTTGGCTATCTTGAGGTACAAATAGCATTATTTGAGATTAGTTCTGTTGTTACCTTAAGTGGTTCTTCCCATACGAGGAAATGTTTGGAGGAGTTTGTCCTTTCTAACACTTACTGAAGGCTTTCTTTTTTTTCCTTTTGATGTAGGTTATCTGCATGGGTGCAAAACAGAACGGCTTGCCAACTGATTATCAGGAGAAATTAGAAGCTATTGAAACTAATAACTATGCAGGACCGGTGCCAATCATGGAAGAGATTGAAGCTGCTATTGCAGCAAGGAAAATAAAGTCTGCATAGAATACCTCTGCATTTGCTTGGCCATTCACCTTGATTAAGATACCTCTCTTCACTGCACTGATCAGCAGTTTCTTTATTTATTGAGAAAAGATGAGCTTGCTGTGCATCTACAGTAAACCATTAGACCTAATTTACAGTCTGAAGACAGACATTAATAACTTCTTTGCTCTGTGTATCTATAGCTTAAGTACATGCTGAAGTTTTTGCAGATTTAAAAATTATCTTTCTGTACTTGTCATGCAATGCTGCACACAGATTTGTGCTTCATGTCCTCTTAACTCACCTTTTAAAAAGAAAAAGGCCATCTTGATGAGTTTTGGCACCTGTTGCCTTCTGAGGATCAGGCCCTTTGTTTTTAAATGCTGTATACACATATATATATATATATACACACACACATACCAAGAATTTCAAAGATTTGTTAGATGCAAAGTAAGCTCATATTTCTAAACTAAGGCTAAACCCTTTCCTCTACTGCTTCTCTTAATGGTTTAAAGCCCAACCTATCTGATGCTATGGAGTTCCTGTTTATATACTTAACAAAGAACAAAGAAAGAACAGTAATATATTTTTTAACTCCTTACATATTTTTAAGTGTAAGTCCAAAAGGCAACCTAGGCCTGAAGCAACATTCTGCAAAGAATCTCATTCAAAGCATCATGGCCTTCTCCTTTGTGTCTAGTAATCATCATAAGTCAACTTGGTTAGCTATAACCAGAAGATTTTTAAAGAATTCATTTTAGTTAGATATTTCCAAGGTTTTTTTAATTACTTTTTTGACTGGTTTGTTTGCCTGTCTAGGCCTTAGTCTCATATCCAGTGAAATCAGAAAGTCTCCTCTATGTCCTAGCACATTTGTTTCATGGATTTGTTTGTTAAACCCTAAATGAACAGATTTGGCCTCTTTCCCCCCCTCTTCCCTTCTAGCTTTGACAGTCTCTTGCGAAACTAGAAGCTTTTGTAAGATTTAGAGCACTTATCTTCATGGTGCTTGGCAACCCCTGTAGTTAGTCTCTAGGGGACAAGGAGAAATTGACAACCCGGAAGATGTCAAATCACTGAACTTCGGCTGATCTTCTCTACAGTGTATTTTTTTTTCTCTTGATGTACAGAGGGATGTAGGATAAAATTGATGTCACTGTGTGACTGCTTAGATAAACAAATGACAAAGTAACAGACTGACCATGTCTTCTCTGTATGAAAATATTTTCTGTAAACTTCTCCCAGGTATGTGCAGGTGCTGTCCTGATGTCATATGCCTGATGCCAGAGTTGGGCACAGTGACTGCTGTAAAACATGGTACTTTCTTGATTAGTACTGTCTAGTCTGAAACTGAGTAAATAAAACTGATTACCAAACCTCTCCCCTGCCTCTTCAATATTGGTGTTGCTTATGTAAGTGAAAGCTGGTGCTGTGGAAATACAGCTGTGTTTTTTAATGGATGTAATGTCAGTAGGGAGGGCAAAACTAGGTGTGAACACACTCTTCAGCATCAGCATCGCTTCTTTTGCTTTACCCTTGGGGAGATCCGACAGAGGTGCCTTGATGCCTCCAGTTTAAAAGGGTGGGAGCTCCGCGGGATCCCCAGCCCCACTGGCGGGGGAGGATGCCGTGCTCGGTGTGCGGACGGAAAGGCAGTGCCGGCGATCGGGAGGTTTCGCCCATGCCTGCGCG